AAACAGAAAATCCCAAACTGTTGCTTTAATGGCGTGATTTAAAACAACCCACTTTGCAACTAATTGTCTCTTTAGGGAAGTCACATAAGAGCTGCAGGCAACCACTGGTGCTTTCATATATCATGAAGAGATAAAAGGTGTGTTGGGAAAGGCTACTTTCTTTTTTTATATTTCAATATCGAAATGCACAAAGGCTACCGCTCCAGAATCTTCATAATACCAATCAGTGGGATTTCTCCTGAAATAAAGGAACCATGAATTGGAGTTCAGTTTCAACTGGCAACTGGTGTTTGGAGCATGACTAGGAGAGCCTTTGAATGCTTCACTGTTAATTCAAGCTGCGCTCCTCTGTCAAGTGCAACACTAAACTCCATTAAGTTCAAGAGCAGACGCACTTAGGACTGTAGTATCAGTTCCCCGACTACTATCCAACAGCCCCAAAATCAATAGGTTATCTTGCTTGCAATTGACTAAAATTACATCTTAGGCATGTAATTGGCTTAATGGGTATTTTTCAGAGAAGCAGTAACTCAATGCTGGGAATTTATTTTTGGACAGAAGTCCCTTAAGGAACCATCCAATCCAAACCTGATAAAAATCCAAGCAGATAAAAGATAAGCCTCTAATTTATTCACATAACCCCGGCTCCCCACCGCAAAGAAATGTACAATTATTTTGCATTAATTATGTCATACGCACTGTGAATCACAGTTCTATATTGGCTTGATTAAATCTATACTGACTTTTCTTTTTTTAGCCTGTTTTAATCTGCATGATAATGTAGCTACTGCATTTTTCAAAAAAAAATAATAATACTGGGCTGGTCAATGAAGTGATCAGAGACTAAATAGAAATCTTAGGAAGAATGGCTTCTATGTCTTCACTTGACTGAGAAGACACCCATTCAGATAACAAAAATAGCAATAACAATAGCACTTAGACTTATATACCGCTTTACAGTGCTTTACAGCCCTCTTTATGCTGTTTACAAAGTCAGCATATGGCCCCCAACAATTTGGTTCCTCTTATACTAAAATAAACTATTTCACAATCTAAAATGTTTATTTACTTTTTATTTATTTGTTTCCTGCCTTTATAAGTAACTTAAGGCAGTGAACACACACACACAACTTCTTCCTCCTCCTATTTTCTCACAACAACCATGTGAGGTAGGCTGACCTCCTCATAGGCCAGTCATCCAGCGAGCTTTCAGATCTAAGGTGGCACTAGAACTCACAGTCTCCCGATATCTAAGCCAGCACTTTTAAGTCCACACAACTTTTAGTTACCAAGTCTGAGAAATGCTGCTTTAGAATATTCTGAAGGGTTCTACAAGATGAATCACAACAGTAAGTAATTTTGTTGTTGATATTAGGGTCCACTAAAAGGAGAAAAAAAAAACTCAGAAAGCTCCTGAGCATCTAAGAAGGAGAGGTAGCAGCCGTGAAAGAAGTTCCATAAAAAGATTCCCACAGAGGGATTTGTCCAATCCATTTTAACAGTTCCATAGGGCAAAGGTGTTCCTTATTTGGTAGAATGCTGAAAGTGCCTTCTACCGCAGCAGATGGCAAGACATCAAATTGGACTTCTAAAAAAGCTCTCTAATATTTGGGTAGCACCAAGGTTCAGGCAGACTAGATGAATTGAATTGAGAAAGCTAGCATATTACGGACATAGCTCTTACCCACACTTGCTAGCTTTGATGAAACTTTAGCCCAAAGGTTTCCAGGTTGAATGTCCCTTTTTATCGTGTTCTTCTTCAATGACAGTCTTAGGGGAGCTTTACCGTATGATTATTTAGTCCGAAGGCAATTAATTAAACCCAGAGCGTGAAGCATATATTCCCCAAGACTGCTTTTTCAGGCCCCGACCAATATGACTGATTTACCTTTTGCATAATCTACTTAACATGTTCTCTAATTGGAAGATCCTTGTCCAGCTTTTGCCTGAGGCCTGTTGACATGCAATTTGTAGTAAAAACATATGAAGAGTGCCAGGGAGGGCAAAGCTGCCAATGCAGCAAAAGGCAAGAGTTTTGTTGATTGCTACGGGATTGCATCCATAGAGATGGTGGCTGTCACAATGGCAGAAATTCATGTCAAGAAGTTTGATTTTCTATGCCTTGTTCGGTTGTATTTAATTAAGAAACAATACTTGTTCCTTCTTTTTATACAACAGTTATAATTTAACTACCAAGCAATACTTTGGGTAAACATTGTGCTTCTGAAGGTCACAGAATCTGAAGACAAGTATAGGTAGTCCTCAACGTACAACCATTCCTTTAGCGACTATTCCAAGTTACAAAGGCAGTGAAAAAAAAGTGGCTTATAACTGGTCCTCGCACTTACGACCATGGCAGCATCCCCGCTGTCATGTGAACAAAATTCAGGTGCTTGGCAACTGTCATGTATTTAAAACTGTTGCAGCATCCCGGGGTCACGGGATGGTATTTGCAACCTTCCCAGCCGGCTTCCAACAAGTGAAGTCAATGGGTGAAAAAGTCATAAAATCAGGTGTGACTTGCTTATCAACAGAAATTCTAGTTTCAGTTATGGTCGTAAGTCAAGGACTACCTCCAGCAGGAAAGCAGATAAGAAGGTTTGGAGACTTTTCCCTTGGCTTTTAGAGGATGCATTTTTAAGACACCCATAACCTTTGACTTCCCAAACAGAAAAGCAAAACATATATCTCTTTATAATTAGGGTGCTACATGTGATGTCAGAGGCATGTTAACCATTTTTGTGGTAGGCATAAGAAGGATCAAGTCCATCTCAAACAACCAGGCTATTTTATATGTCTGCAAAAAAACAATACATGTATCTCAATATATAACTTGGATAGTCCGTAACCAATACGGTTTTGAAAAAGCTATACTATGTTAAGCCCAACTATAGTAAGAAAATCAGGGGGAAAGTGCAAATTCTGAAGAACACAAATTATGAACGAATAATAGAGAACTTCACAGCACCAAGTAGTTCAAATTTTTCAGGTGCTTGAATGTCTTTACAAGGATTAAACTCCAACCATAATTACTCTATTTTAATTATACAGGCACACATATGCACATACATACAGGCACACATCTGTTCAGATTAAGGCATATTGAAAATCATGAAATGATTTAGTGCGGCCAAATTTCCAAATTCTGATATGTAACAAAATGAACATTTCTATGTTAATCCAAGTTGATGCTTCTCAATTCATGTCCAAGGATGTTTTTCCCTCATAAACATTTATTAAATCATGAATGAAACAAAAAAAAAATTGGCATACATTATTACTATTTTTGTTTTTACTTCTGTAAACTTGAGGTGGCTATGTTGACCTTTGCTGTGAATTTTTCAATGTACGCTCAGAACTCACATGAGTACATATATCCTGAGTGCGATTGAAAGAAAAATGCCAAACCAACTTTAACCTTAAAACTTAGTGAAGAACAATAAACATAGTAATGTAGATAGAACAAGGCACAATCTTTTATCCAGGGCCTAGCATGAATTGCATTCCATTTTACTTTCCTCCTGCTTGAGATATTTCCCCTAGACTACTATAATTCTACATGGTGAATAGTAGGGCTAAGTTGTTAGTGTCTGTCCTGAAGCTCAGGATACTCCCACCCTCCCCCACGCAGGCCCTGCTCTCTCTCAGTAGCTTGATTACTGCCTAGATCTAGCAGCAGCTCACCTCCTGGGGTGAGATTATTTTTGCCATGCCCAGTGGATATAACCAAGCCAAAAGAGATTCTTTGTATCCTACAGAGTGACAAAAATAAAATCCATATACAGACATAACTCACAATATAGTAGCATCACAGAGCAATTTTGAAATGCAACCCAGCCTTGAAATTAGAGGAGGCTGTCAATTTTCCAGATATTTTCCATTTTTTTTCCTGTACTGTATTTAATGCTCATTTAACACCACTTAGCATCCCTTTTATTCCCTCCTGATGCAACACCATCTCACATTCCACCCTCCTGCATTTCATTTGGTTTAGCAAACACATGCAAATCTTCAGATCTCTAGTTCGGAAAGAAACCCGGGGAGCTCTTCCTATGGGCACTCTTATTAAAATGAAGCCGGACTTCAAATCCCCACGTTCTTTAATTGCAGAAGGATCCGTAGGGAAATCTGCCAAGTGCTCGGTATTAAACGTGCCTCTAGTCTAGATCGCTACAGCCAAGTTTTCTCGGAGGGAGCACAAAGAAGCGCGGTCTCCCATCCGCAAGACCAAGGCAACGTCTCCGTTTGCATTCCAATTCCAGGCTCCAATTTGCAGTTAACTTCACCAACAAGACTCCCGAGGTTTTTTGGGAAACAGCTCCCGGTCGTCCTTCGGAGAAACAGCGACGGTACGCGAATCCTCGCCGTTTCGTTCGCTGTATGACCATCCTTGTTTCTTTTTTTCTTTTTGTTCTTTTCCCAAAGGCCAATGCAATGCCAAGATTCAGCCCTGCTTTTACCACACTCCCCAAAACTACATGGATTGTCCCCCCGGCCATCCATATCTCCCCCCCCCCCCCCCCCTAACTCGATCGTCCAGGCAGTCCCTTCCTTTTCGGTCACTCTCCCAAATTCCCCAGTGCGATTCTCCAGTGGCAAAGTACTCCGCTCCCGTCCATCACCTCTACCCAGTTCAGTTCTTCACGCACTAGCGACCGCCTGACCCCGAAGGCATCAACACTCTCACGCCTCCAAAGAGCGGACGGACGCCTTTCCAATCCGGAGAGCACCATAACCCCCGTACATCAAGGCTGGCTGGCTGGCTGACCCGATGCACCGCCACTAGCTCCAGCTCACCCAGCCCCAGAGAATTGGAAAGTCCATCCGGGCTGCTCTTGGCACCGATCCCACCCCGACCCTCCAGCGCCCCCACTTTCCCGGGGGGGGGGGCGCCAGCCTCTTCCTCTCCCCCCCCCCACCCCCTCCGTCCTCCGCCGGGGGATAGCAGCTCTCCCGCGCGATGCAGGCTCCCTCTTTTGCCTTTCCCCCCTTTTCCTTACCTCTCCCTGATCGTCCTCCTCCAGGCTGCTGAAACTCCACACCACCAGGCCCTGGATGAGCAGAATAGCCAGAGCCGTGGCGATCGCCAGCTTGTACCGGCGAACCAGCTTCTGCACTCGGACGCTCGCCACCATCTTCATTCCAGGCGGCGGGCAAAGAGAGAGAGAGAGAGGGAGGGGAGGGGAGGGGAGGGCGTGGGAGGGAGAGCGAAGGAAAGAGCCCGCTGGAAGAGGGCGGCAGAGTTGAGAACCCTGCAAGACCCGCGGGCGCGAGCACGCACGGCGCGGACGCTGGCGAGCACGCGCGAGGCGAGAGAGTGGGGTGGGGGGGGGAGAGAGAGAGAAGGGGCGGGGCCCGGCGATGGCCACCCCGGCTGGCTGCGAACAAGTTGAGAGGAGGCGAGGCGAGGCGAGGCGAGGCGTCTTCTTTTCGGCCAGCTTTGTAAAATCCCAGGATTGGGGGAAAATAGTGGAAGGGAGACGGAGGGGGTCCTATGCAGCCTGGAGAAGAAAAGAACTCGTTGCTTGAACGTCTGACGAGCTCCTGCCCCCTCTTCTTCCTCCTCCTCCCCTTTTATCCTTGCCAATAGAGCTGCTCAAAGCTTTTACAAGAGGGTTTGCATGAGGGGTGTGTGTGTGGGGGGGTGGGGAGAGCTCTTGCCCTTCTCCCCTTTAATTTGCAAAGAAGGTTTTGTTTTTTTTTCCCGCCCCCTCCCCTCGCTTGGCGCTTCGTGCCGGCGGTAGGTCGCCCACATCCCTCAGCAGCCTTTTTTTACTTCTATACGTGAGGTGGGATTCAAAAGGAATCAGCGACGGGGACAACATTGGAGGCAGGATGAAAACTAGGAAACGGGCATTTATAGTAGTTTATGAGTAGCGAGTAACTTTTGTTCCGGCCGAATCGGGGCGAGAGAAGCCACTGGGTGACCTTGGCGGGAACTCTTTTCACGACTTAAAATCTACACGAATGGTTTTACAACATGCCGTTCTGACATCTTTTGAAGAAAAAAGAAGAATGGGAATAGGATAATATTAAAGGAAGGGGTCACTTTTTTAAACACGCGTGAGCTTTTTTGTTTTTTGTTTTAGTTGTAAAGCTGTTTGGACCAATATATTTTCTCTTTTGTTGTTGTTTTGACAATACCAGTTCTCAACTGCTCACACACACACGCACTACGTGAGTAGAATAGGTACAAGAGTTCTGATATTATTCACGTTTGTGGAAATGTCTGTATGGCGTGATTCGGAGATCTGCTGCTGTAAGATTAAAATGTAATGTTCTCTAACCATTGTTACAAGGTGGTTCTTTGTATTCCAGAGCTTTGCAATGTGGGTTTATCCACCCTCTTGCAATTTATTTTTGTTGGGTGTATAAAAGAACACACTGAACATGCACTGAAAAAAAATGTAGGTTTAAATATCTACTTAAACAACAATCTCCCTCAATAATTTTGGATTATCTTCGGTATGAGTGAGTGTGGAGTTTGCTCCCTGTTCCAATTCCTGGAAGCTTGGCATTTAGACAAATCAGTCATCAATAGCCACATAGAAATAAATCATATTTACACACTATTCAAAAGAGACAATACAAAAGATAAGAAAAAGAGCAGAACACATTTCCAGCAGCCAACAACCAGATAAACAGGGATTAACACCAGGCAAACAACAAAGCAGAAAACTATATCCTAACCAAGAAACTATCAAGGAGAAAACCATACCCCCCCACTCAGGGTATGCTACTCTCTGGGCAAGCTACTGTATATAAACAGGGAGCAAACCCCACGCTCAGCTTGCACTGATGTTATTACCTAATTAGGTAATGAAACATCTACAAGCCAATAACAATGCTCAGAAAACATCAAGGACCCTGCAGTTAAACCCTGAGCTATAAATATTCTCTTCCATTGGAACTTTGTATCAGTCACTCAAACCTACCTGCAGCCACTAGATTTCTTTTTATTTTATTTTTTGCCACCTTAGATTTGCCACAAGTCTACAAAGTCCATGTATCTTTGTTTTAATTGTGAAAACGAAACTAGAAGGAAGAAAATGGTGACAGGGCAAACAGCATGTCAACTGCTTTGCATCCTAGAGGCAGGATTCAAATTAGGAGTGTCAGGGTCTCTACAAGTTTTTGTGTGGTCTATGAAGGGCCTTATTCCAAAAATGACAGGGACCAGGCCCTTTAGGGAAAGAGTTTCAGAAGTTTCCTAGGGTGAAATTGGTGCATTTTTATGTATTTATTGTTTTATCATAGAAAATAAAATACAAAACAGTGAAACAAAATTAAAACAAAAGCAAACATTCAACCCTAACAACAACAAAAGAAAACATGGTGTACAAAAAAAGAGGAAAAAGTCATCAATTAAATTTAACATTTAACATGTAAGATCCATCCTGGTGAAACATGCATTTTTATTTATATATTCCATTTCTATAGCTGCTCATCTCAATCCAATTGACTCTAGTCATTGGCAAGAGTTAAGACACTCCTCTTGCCTTGTAAAATTTCCCCAAACTCCAAAATTACTATGGGGCCATAACAGGAAACCTGGCAGGCCACATTTTTGCACTTTGTTTCTAGTAGCGTCATAAATAATTTCTTATCAACATATTGATTTTTATTTAATTATTACATGTGAACCGTCTCCATCTGATTCTTTTCCCTCCAATGATTTTATTGGATCTCACACAATTAAAAGCAAAGCCAAATAAGATAATTAAGTCCATAAACAGTTTAAACAGTTAAAAACTACAATAACAAAAAGACAGGGGAGAGAGTGCATTCTCAGCTCACAATACAGCCATGTAACAGACTCCATACTTCTGCCTGATGGCAGAACTAAGTATTACAAACTTCTCGGAAGCAGAGGTAAAATTCAAAATTTTTCACTACCAGTTCTGTGGGCGTGGCTTGGTGGGCGTGGCAGGAGAAGGATATTGCAAAATCTCCATTCCCACCCCACTTTGGGGCCAGCCAGAGGTGGTATTTGCCGGTTCTCCGAACTACTCAAAATTTCCACTACTGGTTCTCCAGAACCTGTTAGAACCTGCTGGATTTCACCCCTGCTCGGAAGGCTAATGGAGTTGGGACCAATCTCACTTTGTGGGGGATGATGTCGCAGAGGGCAAGTGCCACTGCAGAGAAGGTTCCTCTCCTGGATCCAGCCAAACAAAGGATTGATGGAACCCACAACATGCCCCTCATGCCAGACTTCCTGGGAGCTGACCTCTGTGCTCTTTGTTCTTAGTCACTGATTGTCTCTTCATTTTCCTCCAAGATACCAGGTCCCATTATAATAGATTTTATGTATGTTGGGGCTACCTTTGGACTATGTCTGAATAAGAGGGAAACTACTACGGATAGTCCTCCACTTATTACTGTAATTGAGCCCAGAATTACAGTTGTAAATCATGCCAGTTATTAAAGAGCCTTGATAGTACAGTGGTCTAAGCATCCTGTTATTAACACAGCTGCCTGCAATTTACTGCTGGTTCAAATCTCTCCAAGGCTCAAGGTTGACTCAGCCTTCCATCCTTTCTAAGGTAGGTGAAATGTGGACCCAGTTTGTGGGGGCAATAAGCTGACTTTGTATAAATATACAAAAGTATGAAGGCTATTGCTTAACGCATTGTAAGCCGCCCTGAGTCTCCGGAGAAGGGTGGCATATAAATCAAATTAAAAAAAACAAAACGGGTCATCACATGACCAACCTGATTTTACAACTTTTCAGTGGTGGTCATTAAGCAAATCTGCAATCGTTAAACAAATCCATAATCCACAATGGATTTATTTTTTTTTGGAAAGCAGAAGTGAACATTAGTTTCCAACAAAAAGCATCATAAATTTCAGTCGCATGACTGTGGGACACTGCAAACAGATGCAAATGCAGACCAGTTGCCAAGGACTCGAAATGCGATCACGTGACCATGAGTGGGGGTTCTAAGTACTTTGTTTTGAGTCCATCATAGCTTCTGACAGTCACTGAGCAGCCAGTCATAAATCAAGGATTACATGTACTTTAGTGCCAGTACACTAAGGATGACTTGAGATTGTCTTACCCATTGGCTGGGGTCAAGATGAAGGCAACATCAGGTGTCCATGGTAGAAAAGAAATGTTACCAGGGAATGCTTGTCTCATGGTTAGGTGTAAAGGAGGAAGGGCTTCCTTTGCCTTGTTTGAACATTTTTTATTTGGGAGATGATAAAACATGTTTGTATAAATGTTTGTATAATGCTGTGTAATGATCTAGGTCAGTGATGGCTAACCTTTTCTGGACTGAGTGCCCAAAGCGTGCATGCCCCCCTCATGCCACCTGCCTTCCCGCACATGTGTGTATCCCCCTGCACGTGCCCTCCTACACATGTTGGTGTGGCCGCCCCGCATATGCACCGTCCCCCGTGCATGCATATGCACCCCCCCGCACGCGTCCCTCCGCGCATACGCGGCAGAGACCTGATGACCAGCTGGCTGGTGGGAGGCACATGTGCATGCGCAGCAGAGCTGAACTGGGGTGACTGCTTGCGTGCCCACAGAGAGAGCTCTGCGTGCCACCTGTGGGTTTCACTTACCTTTGCTACTGGTTCGCTCGTGCGCACGCGCTTGCTTCACTCACACACGCGCCACTTCTGCGCATGCAAATATGCACAGAGCATGTTTGATGATGTCCGGGTGGGTGGGCAGAGCCTCCTACTGCCGCTACTACTGGTTCACCCGAACCGGAGCAAACCGGTAGAAACCTACCACTGAGGCGTGCCATAGGTTCGCCATCACGGATCTAGGTTCTAATCCTCTTTTTTTTTTCTAAACTCAGATGATTCGTTCCTGATTGTATAGAATAGAATAGAATTTTTATTGGCCAAGTGTGATTGGACACACAAGGAATTTGTCTTGGTGCATATGCTCTCAGTGTACATAAAATAAAAGATATGTATTAAGTTTATCATGCAGAAGTGTTTGCTAGAACTTCATGATATATTGCAATAGAAGCATAATTTATGCCAACCATCCTTAACCAGTTACATGCATACCCATTGTGCTATTTACTTTTGGAGTTTGCAATGTGGTAGAGAGAACAGAAAAGGAGTAAGAAAAAAGTTAAAGTAATTACCGGAAATAAGGAAAAGAAGAGACAGCTTACACTAGTTTGCATGAATACTATGCCTTTCTATGTCTTTCAAATTTTGCAAACCATATTTGTTTCCACCAATTCATACATTACATTTTTTCGCCAGACTTCTCATCTCTCTT